TATTAGTAAAATTGAAAACTTTTATATAAAGAGAAAAATATGCATTTTACTATGTTTAATTAGTAAATTTTGACGTCGTTGCATTATTTCTGATTGCCACTGTATATATATATGTATATATTATATTTTTTTAAAATTTTATTCTAATTAATTGTTTAATTATTACTAAATTATTGTTATTTATTTAATTAGTGTAGAAATATTATTACAAAGAAGTATTTAATTATACTAAAATAATTAAGACTTTTTCTAATTTTTTTAATTATTTTATATTTAAATATAATTAGTTTATAAAATTATATTTTGAAATTATTAATATTTTGTGAAATAAAAAGATTTGAATTAAAATTTACAATTAATAAATTTCTTATATTAAAAAACTTTTTCATGTAATAAATTCAAATTTGAATTATTAATTAAAAATTTTTACTTTATAAAATTTACTTATTTATCAATTTTGAGATTTTGAAAATCTTGAAGAACTAAATCTAAACTAAAATATTAATTCATATATTAATGTATCTAATATAAATTTAGATTTTAGAATCTTAAATATCTATATAAATTAAGCTAATTTTTATAAAAATTGATAAATAAATAAATTTCATAGAGTAATACATTTTTAATTAGCAGTTCAAATTTGAATTCTTCATAAAAAAGTTCTTTAATATAAGAAATTTACTAATTATAAATTTAAATCACTCTATTTTATAAAATAATTTGTTGTCAAATTATTATTAAAAATTTCAGAATTTCAAATAAATACTTTTTTATTTTTCTGTTATATATATAAATTACTATAATATATATATTATTATTGCAATTTCATTTTATTTGAATAAATTGAAAATTCCTATTACATCAAGAGTTTTTGATACTGGTCCCCTCCTGGCGACCTTGGAATTACCAGCTCAGTTGCAAACTTTGAAAGAGTTTAATAAACTAAGTGATATTTGTTTTAGTATTATTACAATTTTATCAAAAATTTTATAATTATTTAATTTTTGAATTAACAAAAATTAAAATATATTATAATATAAATCAATATAACTCAATAATAATCAAATTAATTTGTTTTTTTATTTTTATTGTATATTTTATTACATAATTGTATTTAATATATTTAATATTTAAATTATAATATTTAATAATAATTACATTTTTGTAAATTTTTTATTTTATTATTTTATTAAATTTATTTATTCTTGTATTTTTTATTTTAAAATTTATATTTTTATTATTGGTTTATCTTATTTATATTTATATTTTTAATTTCATTATTTTTAACCAATTATTCTTATATTTATTTTATTTTCTTTTCTTTTTCACTCTTGTTATAATTATTCTTTTTATCTCTTAATTTTTTTATTATAATTATTTATAATCAAGCTTATACTATTGTTTTTTTCTTTATAGCTCTTCTTTTTACTCAAACTCTTGCTTTTTCTTGTCTTTAACTATTAAAATTATAATTAATTTTTTTTTAATGAATTTGTATAATTTTTCAGTATTTACTTTTATTTTGTATTGTTAGTTTTGTTTGTAAATAGTGATATAATTTAAAATAGTTATTAGTTATATAAATCATATAAAAGATTGAAAATATATGAAAAAAGAGTTTTTTGTTGCTAGAAACTCTTATGTCTTCATGTACCACATTAGAATTACTAAATTCACTTTTGTATGTTATTGATCTTGAAAATCATATTGCATGCATAAAATTTGGCTTAGCTGGAATTTGAGTTCCAGGATATTTATACTGTTAATAGTTTCATATACCCTGATTATTATAATCACCTGATTGTAAAATTTATTATTATCTATTACTCTTTTTGTTCTGATTTCTGTATTAGCAATCTCTTGCATTGGTTGAGCAAATATTAGTTGGGATGTTGGCTCAAGAAACTGATCTTCAATTTTCAAGTTGTTTGGCAGCTTCTTCTACTTTAGCAGCTAGTCCTACACAAGGAACGTATCTTTGAGTTTACAATTTGAATTGACAGCATTGCTCAGCTTCTTCTTGTTTATTGTAACATATAAAAAAATTTGAAATTAATTTTCTGGATATAGTAAATTTTAAGCAAATTAAACAATTAATTTACCTTTAATTCACGAACAATTTGTGTCTAGTTAACTGGATGATCAGTGGCTTTAACACTCGTTTGGACAACAAAAGGTGGGGCGCGAATCTCTTCTCCAATTACAGTCAAGTATTTGCTTAAGGCACTCTTGAAAATATGCATAAATAATCATCAATAATATATTTGATTTGAAAAGTGAAATACTTGACAAATAACTTGCAAGTCAAAAAAGTTGTAGTTTCACGTGCAATTTCACCACTTGTCCCAATAGTTTGACATCTAGCTTTTTCAGCAGCCAAAAGCTTTAATTCAGTAATATGTTCAAATTCTTGTTCTCTCTGGAATGTTTTCATGTATACCAAAAGGATTCGGATGAATGTTTCTTGGTGAAGCGGGAGTCACTACTGGAGACTGAATTACAGGAGTGAAAGAACTAATGGTGCTCATCCTTTCACGACTCAAAAGTAAATTTGTGTAGTATGTATTAAGAAGCAATATACTTTGTTATTAATAGATAAATTGGATTTGGGTTATGGAGGAGAGCAATTGAATGCAAGTTTTAAAATAAGTACCACATGCACTTTATATTAAGATGAGTTTATCAATATGACTCTTTAACAAGCTATAATTAATCAATCTGGATGGGGTTGTTACTGATAACGTCATCCTCTGCTAAAGAAGATACCTAGCCATGGCAAAAAAAAGTGTCGGTTCACGTGATTTCTGAAGACACCGACCTGATACTTATCTCTGACGTGATAAATCTTTGCAACGAATATATCCAAATTTAAAAGACCAAATCAGTCTTCGCACAATTAGTTAATTTTTATTTATCAAATCTATGCTTTTATCATGGTTTCCCTGTGAAAAGACACACAAACACCACCTCGAAATAAACGCATTAAAATAAACGTACTGAAGTAAATGATACTAGAGAAACTTACCGAATGATAGATAAAAATGAAGATTCACTTGCAAATCCGATAACGATAATTAATATAAACGCATTATATAAAGTATTTATTAGTGCAAACGGAGAAACTTACCGAGTGATAGATTTAATGTAGACGTTTTGGATAAAAGTATTATTAATTTAAATTAATTTAAACATTTAATAGTTATAGAAACTCGCTGAATAAAAAACCACTTACGAATTCAAATAATCATTAACCCAAGTTAATATAATTATCAAAGCTCCCATGATAAATTCGTATGACAGTCATAGAGTATAATATCACAGGTACATGTATTGTTAGCAAGATCTATGCTAAAAATCATATCTGATAACTACCTTCATATGACTAACTGAAGAAACTACGTATGCCTGTAAGCATGACAAGAAAACGTGGATACAACAAACGCGGCTTATCGTAATCAAATTCATATTATCAATTAACAAGCAATAAAGTCATTATTGTTATTATTTCGTGGTAAACCCCGATTTTATTATTTTATTATTTTATTATTTGATTTTTTCATGTATACATCACCTTGTTATTCTCACTGGCGTTTTGGCTAAACAAAAAACCTCTACATGAAATGAGAAATCTATCACTTGATATATAATACGTGAAATATATATACAATCTATATTAAAGAAAATAAGATAAGTGTACTGTATAAGAGGATCCAAAAAAACTCGAAGCCATTCCCAAAGGAAACAAGCATAAAACGAGCTGCACATTAGAAGAATTCTAAAAAAAAATAAATATAAAATAAATACACATATAGTCCGACACACGAATATTTAAATGTTGACGTCAAACACACTCGGTAGTCCCGGGGAACAGCGAACAGAACAGATGGAATCCTGAATATGCCGTCTCATTAAATATGTATGCTTGTATATATGTGCAAATAAAAAAATAAATACCCAAAGAAAAAAAGTAAAGGAAGTATTTCTATGTTGTTGTTTGGGGAGGGCTGCTGTCTTTTGTTTCTCGATAAGTAAACATGAAATTTCTAGAAGAAAGGGAATCATTCTAAACATAAAGGCTAAATAGAACTGAGGTTTCCGTTTCCAATAGCGCCACTCTAAAACAAGTAATATTACTACACATGAAAAAACGTAAAAAAATAAAAGTAATGAAAAAGAATAAAAGAGAAAAAAATATATAATTTTCAGACAAGAGAATTAAATTATAATAAGGTACCTATAGAAATTAGAGCTCTTTAGAATAGTTGACGTTCCTTTGGCATTGACTATCATCATTCGAAATGAAAAAATCTAGTCGCCACCAAAGAAACAAAATAGAATGTACAGCGAAAGAATAAGTGGAATAAGCGAATAAAAATAAATGTATAGACAAAAATTTACAAATTAAAAAGAAAATTTGTACAAGAAAAAATACAAAATACCAAACGATGATTGGTATGATGATGAAAATGATAACGATAATAAAAAAATGAAATATTATACATACTGCTGCTGATGATGTTACGAATAAAATGCAAAAATCACAATTATTGAAAAAATGTAGTAATGAGATGACTGCTATAATCGATATAGACAGCCAAGTGTCTAATCGACATGTGTATGTGAATTGTTATCATGTTATACATGCATCAAAGATAATTAACACCAACAACCCACGTGTAAAATGCTTAGATAAAGGTGTGATAGGGAGAAATATAGATAGATAGAATGCTATTTATGAAAATACTGATTTCGGATTATTGGATCATTTGAATAATTCAATCGTTTTTTCAAGCATTTCATCAATGTCAAGCAAATTCGTGACAATCCTCTTAAACAAGCATTCGACTAAATGACTGGTGTTATATCACGTCATCAAGTGAATGCTGTCGAAAATGAAACGAATCACGAGAGCACAGAAGAGAATGAGAAAGAAGAAAATGAAAGAAAAACTTAGATTTTTAGAATGATAATTATGAATGTTTTTGGTGATGTTGATTATTATTTATGTTGTGAAGGTGAATGAGATAATAATTAATATAGGTTTTGAATTACTACTGCTAAATGAAAAATATTTACTACTGCAAAAATCGAGAACATTTTACGATTTTGATCGGTTGAATAGGACCGTTTTCGAAGAATTATATTAGAACAGAACATTAAAGTGTATAAGAATAGTGTCAAAGTGTATATAATATAACAATAGTACTGAAATGCTATTAGAACAGAATAAATGGTTGGTTGCACTAATGGTATCAACTACGTAATGAGAAGGAACACGTGCCTAGCTAGATTCACGTGTTTAAAAAACTGGAAAAGGTTAAGTTGTCGTTTTTTGAGTTCATCACAAAAAACAACGATTTTCATTAAAAAATGTAACACAAACTAGCGCTAGCACGACACGATCCAACGAATCAATCATCGATCGATCGCTCACTCACACATTATCCCGGATGATTTCTCTCGAAAATTCGATCTCGATAATTCGGTTCTTTTTTCTGACTGACTGGTGGTAAGGAGTATTAACGAATAAGAATGTGTGAGGGACCGAATGAATTACAAAAAAAAGGAAAAAGTATATTAAAAGGAATGACGGATAAGAAAAAAAGTGAAAATTATATAGTATAAACAAGATGTGAAGAAAAAAGTGAATCTATGGTATTGTCTCTCTCTTCTTGGAAAATAAGGGGCAACAATTATTGAGAGGCGAATTCATTGACAAGACTATCGAAAATATTCCGATACTCTTCTTTTGTATTGATCCAGGATTCTTTTCCAACCACTGCGAATGTCTCCCTTAATTTCGCACAAAATCTTGGTTCTTTCTCGACTTCGTTCTCGAGTGCAAGTAAAAATAACCCAAACGCACTCTTTTCTATTTGAGCGTTAACACAGGATGGACCGTCCT